AATCTGTCCAATTATTTCAATGAAAATGAAATATATCGCATTGATCACTATGTGGGAAAAACAGGAGTGATGCAGATCTTGGATTTTCGCTTTGACAACCGTGAACAGTATAAAGATGTTTGGAATAGAGATCACATTGAGAGAGTGGAGATTGTTTTGAAGGAAAGGAGCGACTGCAAAGGAAGAACAAACTTTTATGACAGCTACGGTGTCATCCGTGATGTCATGCAAAATCACATGACTGAACTCATTGTCATGGTTGCTATGGAGTTACCAAACAGTCTTAGTAATAAAACAAGCATTATGCAAAACAAGCTAAGGCTTTTAAAAGAAATCAAGCCAATGAATAGATGGAGTGCAGTTACTGGTCAGTATAAAGAGTACAATAGGCACTGCCATCTTGACAAAGGGCAAGATGAAACAGTCGCCCCTCACAGCCGAAGCAACACACCTACTTTTGCTTCTGTGTCTGTCTTCATAAATAATGCACGCTGGCATGGTGTGCCTTTTGTGTTGGTGTCTGGAAAGCAGCTTGATGAGAGAACAGCTTATGTACGGGTATTATTCAAAAGCAATATCCATAAAGTACACTCTGCTTCAAGTAAGGCTGAAAAATGTGACGTCAGACAGATTGTGTTCCATATTCAAGGAGAGCACATCCAAAAACCAGCAATTCTTATTTCAGGAATTCTTCCCAAACCTGTATCTTTTCAGCCACTGAAAGCTCCAGAGAAGAAACCTGTAGTCCTTTTTGGTTGTTCAATGGAGGATTTTTATGCTTTAAATCAGAAACACTCTGTTGATGCTTACACAACTCTTATATCAGCTGTCTATCATGAACAGCAAAACTTATTTGTTGGAACAGAAGACCTTTTGACTTCCTGGAAAGTCTGGACACATTTGCTAGATAGTTTGAACAATACAATTCCCCAACAATATGTCCCGGAAAACTTGGAAGTGCTAGAATTTACTACACTGGGTGAACGGCTTGAGTTTTCATGGAAAAATGACAAGGGAACTTGTGATAATGATGGAATCTGTAAGTCAGCTGGGAAGACAATTGGCCATTACAGACCTGAGTTGTTTAGAAATAATCACCTAGAAACTGGAACATGCTTGAAGGTTATAAAGAATCTAGCCATCAGTATAACTGAACATGCCCTTAGAGCTGTTTCAATGAGTGGAATATTTCACTTAGCTTTACCAGGAGGTACCTCTCCTGTAATGTTGTTTGAATCTCTGGCTTTCAGTGTCAAGGAATTTCCATGGCAACACACCCATATATGGCTAGTGGATGAACGATGTGTCCCACCAACCAGCAAGGATTCAAATTTTAATTTGATTTATGAGAAACTCTTCAAACATATTCCTGTTTCTCCTTTCAATATTCACCCAATGTATGTCATGTTGAAGAGTGGATTATGTGACGTAAACGACAATGGTGCTGAACACTATGAGGCAGAATTGAGGAGGTCTGTAGCCAACGGCCAGTTAGATTTTGTGGTTCTCGGTATTGGCTCAGATGGACATACAGCTTCTTTGTTTCCACATCAGACAGTTCTTAATAAAACTGACAAATGGATCAGTTTAACAGAAACTGGCTATGACCATGGGGTAAATCAGAGAATGACCATGACCTTGAGCTTACTTAACAAAGCTAAAACAATAGCTCTTCTTGTCGTGGGTAATAAAAAGCAGAATGTAGTTAAGGAAATATCAAGCGGTGAAGTCGATATATGGAATTACCCGGTAACTGGAATTCACCCAGATACAGGAGACATGACTTGGTATATTGATAATGAAGCCTTAGGCTTGCAGTAAATCCGAAGTATTAACCCTGGTACCTTCAAAGCCTTGGTCCAAGTTGTAAAATATTAGAAAATATGTACTCGAGATGTTTTAATTTTTCCTGTGGGTAAAACGTGAGTCATGATAAAAGTTCCAGAGTCTAGTTTTATTTTTGTTGTTGCTGTTGTTGTTTTCGGCTTACAATTGTTTATTGTCTGGCTTGTGAAGAAAATTATAAAGCGAAGGAAAGTTGTACCATACTTGTTATTTTTTTCTTATAATCCTCAATTAACCGCCGCATTCTTCCAATCTCTAATAATAATCACAAATGCAAGTATAATTCATAATATTGAAAATAACTGATCTACAAATAAAGGGATCTATATTTCTAAAAGAAAACAATATTTTTTAACTGATGTCCACGTCTTTAAAGAAGTTATATGTGACGATGATTTTATCAAGGTACAAGAAAACATAACATGACATTCATTTCCAACTTCATTAGCTTAACAAATTCCTAAAGTATTTGGAGTCTAAGTAATGTACAGTACATCTCCCAACTACAATATGAAGTCAATAACTACCTAAACGAAATTTATTATTTATTTTAATACAAGAAATCATTTTATTCTGTTATTTAATAATCCCCGAATGCGACACTGTCTAAAGAGATGAGTATCCCAGCCACAAACTTGGGGGAGAAAAAAACTTAAAATTATTGTGGTGGGGAACAAGAATAGAGAGGGTGTAAAAAGGATATAAAATCTATCCCATTCTTCTCCACCCTGGTTTTGTGGCTGATGATATGCCTCAGCACCCAGATCATCTTTGGTCCATTTAAGCTTAAGCTTATACACTGAGAAACGTTGAAGGTTCTGTTTCCCTGTTCAACTCAAAGCAAAGCCCATTTGGTCATGTTTTGAACCATATGATAATCTTTGGTAAAACAAAAAAAGCGAATTCAGAATACTTTTAATCAGAAAAGTCCATATAAAAAGAAGATTGTTAGAATTCTAAAAGATCTCCGCACGATGAATCTAAGCAACCCTCAGAGGCGGAAGCCAAAAATGACTTCTTCAATACACAAGAGCCAAGTTACAGCAGTTTGCCCAATTCAACGCACCTTTTAATGTTCTGGATGTTTAGGAAGCTCTGACATCGGTCAATCAAGAAGAAATACAAATACACAAGTGAAAAACCTGACCGAGTACTCGTGCGCCCGGAGTCCACAGCACCTCACTCTCGTGCCAGGATTCTCTGCGTGTGTAATGCTTTGGTAAGCGGTGGTGAGTGCAGGCAGGGCATGTGTAAAGAGAGGTCAATCAAGGTTGTCAGAAGATTTGTTTGGCAAATTGTCAATCATATATGGCGTTCAAAACAAGGGAGAAATTTAGCAAGAATATACGTCGTTATCACCCTAACCTGAGATTAGGCCCAATTTAAGCGGTTCTCATACATTCTCTCTAACGGCTACCGCCGGATTGTTAATTACAAAGCGAAATTAAACGAAAATAGAGCCTGATCTCAGGTCATCCATAAGGGATGATGGCGTGACCATTGGCAGGCCAGGCAGCCGGACGCGGAAGGGTTCCTAGAGTTCTGGACATGTACCCCCGCAAAAAGTGCATCCGTTCATAGTCCCACTGCCACGATTGTGTCTCTAGTTTTTTCAGTGAATGGATAAAATTCAATTAAAGTTTTATTCTAAGACAAGTACGACTACGAGTAGGAGATTTTCTCAATACTAAGTAGTGTACGCGCGTGAGCTAGCGTCTTTTGGCGGGAAAACGTGATAGCCGTCGTCACTCTATAACGAATTTTAGCGAGAATGTCGAAAAGGGGAAAACAAGATATCAAATATTAGAAGTTTTATCATTCTGCGATCAGGAGAGGGTGTAACCTCCTTCACTGAAGGTAACAGTGCTAACTTTTCTAGTGAAAAATGGTAAAATGAAGCTTTCCAGGGAGTTTATATTTTCTAATCTTCCTAATCTCGTGCTCGTAATTGTCCTCGTCCTCGAATCTAAAGGTCTCTAATACTTTAACGTTAACATTAACTAATACTTTGACGTTAACGTAACATGACGGTACATAACAACTTTACTCTAGTATCGATGTGTCAGCTTAATTAATTCAGCCGTTCTCTTTGTCCATACAGTCTCCAGTGGTCTGATCACTATTGCACTAAAATCTTTGTTATCGTTGTAAACACTGTGTCTGTAGGCGCTCTGTTGATAATAAAGCACTTATCCTATCCTATCCTATCCTATCATGTCGAGAGGGAAAGGAGATTCAAGAAAGGAAAGTCTTCGGAGTATTCTTAGAAGGCCATTTTAAAAGGTTTAAAAAGATCAAAGGAAGTCTAGTCTGGTGAGAAAAAATAGTTCCGCTAAATTCCACGGTTATATAGGGATCAGAAAAATTAATAAGTTACCGTAAATGCTCTATTAAGCTCCCCCTCTCAAATTAACCCCCCTTACTCTAATAAGCCCCCCTTTTCAGAGGAGGAAAGTTCATAAGCCCCTCTCTCTATTAAGCACCCCCTCCCAATTCCACTCCCCTCCATCCTTATTCTTCAAAAACAATTAACGTGGAAGGATCAGTTACGGTTTTTGGTCTTGAGCCGCATGACTTCAGATTTCATTTGCTTAACCTTTTCAACTTAGCGCTCTAGTTCTTTGTGGACAATTTTTACGATTTTCTTATGGTTAGAAAAAGCAGTATAACGCCCGGGAACCACCAGTCCTTCCTCGAGAAACCTTGCTCCCGTTGATGCGTTTCACTAAATTAAATAAGCCCCCCCTCTCTATCAACCCCCACCCCTCCCACCTCAAAAGTGCTTCAAAAAAATAAGCCCGCTCAAGGGGGCTTAATAGAAGATTTACGGTATGCTTCACCACTGTGTTTCAATATAGAGTCCTTTTTCTCTGTCTACCAAGGTTCTGCTCTAAGAAAAATATTTTGTGAAATCCAAAGCTCTAATTCAGCCTTTTGAAAGTCAGGGTGCTAAGCATATGAGTCTCTCAAAAAACACAGATTTCTTGGTTGAACCAGAGTCAGAAAAGGGCTCACTATACATTGCCGGATCCAGACTTTTCCAGACCTTGAGATGAGCGGGGGGCGGGGGGCGATCTCCACAAAAAAAATACTTTTTCAGCCCTTCGGACCTCAGTTTGGTCTAGGGGGGGGGGGGCAGGCCCTTGATCCCCTCCCCTGGATCCGCCACTGGATAAAGCAGTTTTCTCCTTGTTTCTTCACTAATTTCTACGTTTCCAAGACAACCATGAAATAAAACCGCTGATAACATACAACAGTACAGTTTTCACCAGCTCATCCGCAGTCTCCCTACCATAAAACGACTGCCCCGCCAAAACTGCTAACACGACAAAAGAGCAACCACCACAAAACGCACCAAAACATATGAAGATGTGTTTTATGCACGGTCCACTGCATTGCCAATCTTCTAATTTAAAAATCTGGTAGAGTATAAAGGTTAACGCGAGGACGAAAATGCAGGCCATCAAACAAACGGTTAGTCCCCATACTGGATTAATCATAATTCCAATCACCAGCCAACAAAAATGGTAAACAGTAAGGGTTACAGAAGATCTTATGACAGCTTTTATACGCGCGTTACATGGGTTACATTTACAACATCGGCATTTTTCGAGGCAAGTTAATACTATACCTTCTAAAATTAGCGGGCCGAGCGTTATATAAATGTCATTAGGAGCATTTCCTGATTTGGAACATCTAAACACAAATACTAATATCACAATCTCAATGCAAAATAATATATGGGATACACAGACAACAGAGCTTATCATGGGGTCTTGCTGGTTGTCACAAACTTGGCAACATAAAATTCTTTCGTGAGTCTCTTTCCTGCCGTTTTCTCCTGAGTCTGGAGACGCGCCTGATTGCGGAGGTTCTGTAGGGGAGTTTAATGCACTTAGTTCGGTCTCCACGGGTGAAGCCTGGGTACGTCGTACACGAACACACTTACACCAGCAACAGAGAGACTCGACATTTTCTTTTGCATTTTCTTTTAACACACCTATAATAACCTCGGCTATAAAAGGACCAGCCCAGAATGAGAATAAACAAGCGCACCATAAAATTGCTGTTATGTAGGAACTTCGCAGAGGTCCGGTAGCCATTATGTCTGTTTCGTGTCCCTTTATAACGCATTCTGCTGTGTTTAGTCTTGGATCCCGTATCCCTGGACTCACCGCCAGATCTTGAAGCTAAGGTGAAGAAACAAGTTCAAATTAGCGCCTACTGGCCAGTCCAGCGTCTAAATGTACAGGCTGAGGAAGAGTTCTGCGAACTGAAATCAGCCAAATCTACAGTCTTAAGCTTATTGAACACTGTACTTTTACATTTTTGGAAACGTTGGCAGAAGGAATACTTAACAGAATCACGTGTTCAATTCGAGTAAAAAGAAGCCCTGAGAACATGTGAGAAGCCAACGATTAAGGTCGGAGATATTGTTTGCGTCTACGGGGACAAAGCGCCGAGACAACTTTGAAGTATGTCGTCAAATCTCTCATTACAGGACGAGATGGTTACCACTCAGAGAAGCTGCTGTAAGAGTGTGTAGTGTGTGAGCGAGCCATTGTACTGTGAGGATCGAAGCTGTGAAATAAACCCTGTTTTACTTTAAACTGTGATATCGTGAACATGAAGAACGGCCCTTCGGCATTCACGACAAGCATTAAGGTCGTATTCCAGGCCATTCTTGTAATGTTATATCGGAACATTCGTGTCAGTAATATAATAAAACCGGAACTGGTTGAACAAGCTCTTTTTAGCGCCTACACGGCTCTGATGAATCTAAAATGATGCACGTTTGCCAGTTTTAAGGGAAGGTACGTTTTTTATTGGGAGGGGTGGGCCGGGGTATTTTAGAATTTTTTGGCGAAAAAAGTCGTGGCCCTCCCACTTCCTGGAATGGATTAATGCATGACCCTTCAGAAATACCCAAACAAAAACATCTGACCCTCCCCCCCCGACCTATCCAAGACAAAAATAAACGGAAGTGAAAATAACAAACTGGAAATGTTACTCATATAACCGCGTTCATCTGCGCACAAAGTAGTTAATTGCGTGGCGTTTGATTGTACGGTGAAAACTTTTAAAAAAATGGGCAAGGATGTTCGAGGAATAGAAAGAGGGAAATGTGCTAGTGGTGATTGCGAGGATTTCATGAGGTCAGATGGAGCAACTTGTGGCTATTGTGGCTGTTTGCCGACTCGCCATTCTAAAAAGAATGCCCGCTACTCTTCTGACTCTGTTGGTGGCACATCGGCTGCGGGAACAAGTGAAAGCGCAACTCCAGAGAAGTGGAAAGATGAAGACCTAGGGTGGTTCCCGAACCCAAAGGGCGAATATACTGAATTCTCAAATAGTATTCTACCAAATTTGGACCAGTTGTCCCTACTGTTTCGTGACTGAAAGAAAGCCCCAGTGGGAAGTTCGCGAAGCTTTGACACCTGTAAATAATTTAGATAATCTTGACTCAGTCTGATCTTTGACTGGTAGCTTTGCTTCTATATAAAAAATAGAAGCGACATGGAGTAATTTCTTCCTTGCCAAAAAAACTGTGACCCTCCCCCGGTTGAGAATAAAACAGGTTTGACCCTCCCCAGTTAGTAAAAAATTTACTAAGGACCCTCCTGATCCCTCTAAAGCCTCGGCCCACCCACCTCCCCCAATAAAAAACGTTCCTTCCCTAAATGTAAAAAAAGCAAAAAATTATTAAACAACCAATACAACATCGGTGAACAATTTATGCTGGCCCTGGAAGACTGAATAACCAAAAACGAGCTTTGCAAGTTCCATATTTGTAGTAAAAGGGCTATACGAATTTTCTTTTTATTAAATTGAAAAAGATCTCGAAAGTTTTACTGCCACTTCTGTAGTACGCTACAAAATCGCAAACCTCGCCTTTGAACTGAAGTTAAAAATATTGTGACAGCTACTGGTAGCGTAAGTGATTACATCCCCGGCGAAGATTTGTTCATGTACAGACAGGACTGAATTCGAATTAACAGTGGTCATCAATGCAGATGTCTGATAGAAAACCCATTTAGCCGAAAAACATTTTTTAACAAATATAGCTAAATATGTCGGTTTATTAGCCTGTATATGACAAAATATCAAACACTAAATGTGAAATTACGTACCGCAGCGAGAACACCTTTCATCAGGTCGTTTTGTTCCTTGGTCGATGAAAAATTTGTACAGAAATAGGGGATGCAGATTTTCAGCTCTTGTGTGCGTGGTGTAACAAGAACTGAGCCAAGCGATAAGAGTTGAAGGACTTGAGGAGGAATAGCAACATATAAACAGTTTAAACTCCAAGTGTAATTTGCCACTGATGTTTCATTGTGTGTAATAAACTCTACTTTAACTACAAGTGATGATGGCATCGTTGCTGGATAAAGAGCTGATTCAATGTTGAAACTGTTCTCCTCTGATGCTAGAGATTTATAAATGTCAGCATAGCTGTCAATACAAGAAGTAAACGTGGGGCACTGCCTCGTCGCAGTTCCTTTGGTGTGTCGGGCAAAACCAATGAACACAGCTTGAAGGAAAAGAAAGTCGCAGATTGACCGCATGGTAATTAAGCTCTTACCAATGGGCTACAATTACCCCTATAAAGAAACGACAATTGAATGGTTTTAGATGACTGTAGTACGTTCAATTGTATTCAGTGAAGAAAAATTGAGGACGAAAGCTGTTCTGTTTGTTGGTTTGGTTGTTTTGGTGGAATACTGGAATTTGCCTCCTTTTTGGATGGAGAAATTTCAGTGTTACATAAACTGTACCAGCAAGGCTTTGATGTCGGGGAGCGAGAGTGAGAGAGTGAAGATGCGAAGACAATGGAAACTCCGGCAAGAAATCCTGCTCACACCTAGCAAGAAGCACCCTCCCAGGGGGACGAGGCAGAAGTTTTATACGGGGAGGTTTCGCCCCGAGGTTTAACCCCTAGCCTGCGTAGCCTACGTAGCAGGCGCTAGGAAGTAAATGGGCGCAAGAAAAAACGCGCGCGCCAGAAGGAGACACGCGCACCCGTGCTTTCCTGCGCCCATTTACTTCCTAGCGCCTGCTGCGCAGGCTGTAGCCTGCGTAGCAATCGTTTTAGCCTGCGTAGCAGGCGCTTTTTAATCCCTTGCGTGTCTCCCTCGCGCGCGCTCGTTCTCTCTTTCGCCTGCTAAGTTCCAAGCGCCTGCTACGCAGGCTACAATCGTTTCCGTGCGGTTTAGGAGTAAACAAGAGTCAAAAAGACTGCGCGAAAAATGGCTCTCGTTTCATTTCTCGCGCGGCCAAAACCGAGAATCCCGTTCCTCGGTCTTCCATACTTGCGCCATTTTTCGCGCGGTCTTTGACTCTCGTTCCTCGTTCTTTGCTCCTAAACCACACGGAAACGATTGCTACGCAGGCTAGAAGAATCTCCAAACTAGAAAATCAGTTTCTATGTGCTCAGAAACCGACGTCTTTTAGATATTAAAAGACTTTCCTCGTCAAAATGAATTTTCTTCCTAGTCTTCAGAGTCTTTACAGCTGATTTCATTGCTATGTATACACCCGGATTTTCAGACATGATTCGACTGTCATGATTCGACCTGTGATGATTCGACACTAATCACGTGACGTATCGCTTCGCAGTGGGTAAACGGTTGCAAAGTCTACCGTGGGATCCGAAGCAGTGAGGGAAAAATCTGGCTGGCAAGGAAAGCTTAGCACTAAAGGACATAAGTGTAACGAAGCTAGAATCCTGACAAATGCGTTTTACCTGAAAAGGAAAGCTTTGTTCATGTTGCCTGGAAAGCTGCGACATGATACAGAAATTATGATAACATGTGATCGGGTGATAAACCTGGAGTTCGATGTATTTCTGAAGGCGATTCATAATGGATGAAATGTTATCGATACGGCGAAAAGATGCAACAGTGATGCTAATTTAGTTATCAGGGAGGCAAATTTGTATTTCTTCAAGTTGGTACTTTTTGGTCCTTACTTAGCTTCTGCATGGTTAAAAAATAACAGGAAAACTTGACGTTTTGCAGAAGAAATCAACACATAAATTGATCAGTCTGCCGTTGTGAAAGAATTTGCTGGAGAGTTTGAAAGTTTTGTTTTGTCGACCATTGAAAAATATCACAATGTTCGGTCCTCGACCTATGACCCTAGTGAGCACAAATAAAGAAAACCATACATAAAAGAAAGCAACATTTGTTTTTATTGAAAAAGGGTAAAATATGATATTTCTTTAAAGATCAAGGTAGAAGTTCAAAAAAAAGTTGGGAAAAGCGCTGAAAAACCCATTGATCGAGACGTCCACACGCCCGATAACATGTGTTGCGATTAGATTGCGTGACTTGTATGAGAGGCTGTTGTCTGAAAAGGAGCACAAATTACGGATCACAGTTCTCTTTTTCTGAATTACAAGGGAAACATTCAAGCTATCATTAAAGTAACTTTCAGATTGTGTGCTTTGATTGCTGTAGGATATTCAAGGTAAAACACTGTACTGCTTGGTAACCTCTCGGTCGAATCATGACCGTCGAATCATGTCTAAAAATCTGGGTGTATACAGAGCACTGAAATCAGCTGTAACTTGAGTATCAGGCCTGCCTTAGGGGTGAGGGGAGGGGAAATTTTAGATGACGGAGCGGGGGAGGGGAATAGAGACTCAATAGAGAAAGAAAGGCAGTTTCTTTCGTTTCTCTCTCTTCCTTTTCGCTTTTCTCTTGGCCACTTTTCACAGAAACACCTAATTCTCTGGCTAGTAAACAGTCCTTTCCTCTAGCTTAAAAGGCTATCACAGAGAGTCCTCACATTTATCATGAAAAAGTCAACTGAGACGATTACAGCGAGATTGCTAGACTTGCTACAAGTCGACCTCTTGGCGAGCGGAGCGAGCCTTTTTTGGCCGCAAGGCGGCCAATTCGCCGTGAGCGACGAAGTCGTCCCGCGCCATATGTAATCCCACGAAGCACTTTTTTGAAAGTCTACAAGATTGCCTGCTGGGGCCGAGAAGAGCCGACCACTAACACCACGGATTCCCGTAAATATGAGCTTATTTGATCAGCTCCAGGTAGTGTTGAGAATGATGTGGAAATGCTTAACAAGTAATGTTTGATCAATTTAAAATTCTATGACCATAAAGAAGCCTCTTTTCGTCTTAACGGACATATTCAGGAACTGATTAGCGAGATTCATAAAACCCGGAAGTAGGGTTTTCACTTCTTCGGTCAAATTCCACCGCCTATCTGTGAGAGGAATGTTATTCTAGCAGGTATTATCCACAGTTACGAGAGTGTATCTCATTATGTGGTTGCATAAAGCTTCACTAGACCATACTTACAGAAAATCGAAGTTTCACTGAAATTCCACCCGCTCAAGCAGAGTATCGTGAATGGCGTGACAGTTTTGTTTCAAAAATTTGCGTGACCAATGACGTATTTGGTTCCGATCCAAATACGGTGATCACATAATCAAGCTGTTTTGCAGTCTGTTCGTGCTTCGCTGGTTCGGTTCATGATGTGGAAGAGGTGGAAGTATTTCCCAAATTTAAGAAAGGTAAGCTGAACTGTAGAACGTAACCTATAAAACATCTTTGATCATAGATTCGCTGTTTTAGGGTGGACCTAGTTAAAACAGCTACACTTGTCTTGTGGTTGTATTGGCAGAGGGTGGTGGCGATGATCACCTCAAATTCAGATCAGACCGTTTTTGGTGTTGTTAGTTTCAATTCTCTGTGTAGATAGCCTTTTATTTGAGAAAGTGCTGAAGTGAATTTATTATGTCCCACTTCCCTCTTCCAGTCATGACAGCTGGGAGTTGCCTTTGTTGCCGAGGATGACCATTTTCTTTTCCTAGTTGGTCTTGGAAGGTTCTCGACAGTGACATATGCCATAATATTTTTTACCTTGTAGAGCTCATAATCTTTTCAAACTGCTGTAACGCAGCAAGATTAATTTAGGGGCAATATATGAATTTCAGTGCTTTATCCATAGCTTAATAATAAATTATTCGAAGGATATCTTCAGGAGCCTGTGAGGAATTAGCAAAAAGGAGCATATCATTCAATTCATTCTTTTTTGTGGTTGATTAAGAAGGGTTTGTGTATTGCATCTTTTGCAATGTCAAGTTTAAATTAAGAATAAACTAACGATGGCAGCACAATAGCCCTGAGTAAGGATTCTGACATCAATTTTGACATATGAAAGAATGCTATGGAATCTCTGGATGGCACATACATATCTATTCATGAAATAGATTTTTCACGAATAATAATAAACTCTAATGATGTTGTCGCTTAAAACTTCAGTTAGTTTTGTTGAGCTTGTTACAGTACTTACAAGAGACTAGAAAATATCAAATTAGTGAAAAACAAAGCGTGCTTTGACTTTTTTATCTTTTAAAAGCTGATTTGAGCAATTGCATAAAAAAATAGGACAGAACAGTCAACAATGTAGATCAGTGTGTAACAGTAAAGAAATGTGTAACTTTATTAGATAGCCATTCAATAAGCTGTAATTTCATATTGGGTTAGGTATCTGCAGTGTAACTATTAAAATGGATGACATCAGTACTTACATAGTTGCACTGCATAGACTAGACCAAACTCATAAGCCCAGAGGAGGTGTTTGCGCTTTCGGATACATATTTGAAAGTTTAAATCATTTGTTATCTGCATGTCCTATAGAACTGAGAACGTGCCTCTGTCCTGTTTCAAAAATTATTTGTGTTTCTCGCTCAACTCTGCAATGTCATTAAATATTCCTATTTTTATTCTTGCTGATGTCAATTGCAACATGCTTTGACCCAAGGAAAAGGAGGCAGAAGCACTGCATGATTTCTGTGACTCCTTCAATCTCACACAGGTTATAAACAAGCCTAAAAAATAACTCAGTTCTCCAAGTCCATTATTGATGTTATTATTACTAAGAAAGCAAACTTGATAAAAGAAACACAAGTTATTCCACACTCAATCGGTGACCATGAACTGATTATATTTGCAACTCTACAACTCAAGAAACCTCGTCCCAAACCTGTATACCGGTACATCACCACAAGGAGCTTCAAGAATTACATCAAAGACGCTTTCCTTGAGGACATTTTCAATGCTCCCTGGTTCATTCTAGACACTTTTGATAATTTGGAGGATTTTAGATCGACATAGCCTCTGAAAACTGTGGCCAACTCCATTCATCGATGACAATTAATGTATGTGCCCTAATGAAAACAAGAGATCATTGGCAGAAGTTAGCGAGGCAAACAAAATAATGATCCTGCTGCCTGGTCTGGCTATTAAAATTGTAAATGAGAAGAAAAGCCAGAGCTACAGATTGCTCAAAGGAATTTCATCCAAGAATGTATATCACAGAATTCAAATGACACTAATGCAATGTAAGAGACAATTTTATTATAAGATTGTGTATCCCAAAGAAATCTGCAAGTGTAAGGGTTTACAGTGATAATGATAAAACTGTTGCTGATAGATTTAATCAATTTTTTTACTTCAGTAGGAGAAACAACATATCAAAAACTCAAACAACTCGCTAATGAGTGCCGTTATGCTCCATTGCAGCAAACCTGCAGCCCAGAATTTCCAAGAGCAGAGCATTTTATTTTTGCCAAAAAAGGCAGGCTGTACATTGTTTGGATGTTGAAAAGATTGTATCATCATTGTCTACAAAGAATTTTATTTATATAGCACCAGGTCTTGACGAGATACCAATTCATGTCATCAGACTCAGCACCTGGTATTATTCCTTCTATTACTGCCATTATAAAATTCTTCTTTTAGCACCAGCACCTATCCCGGAGATGGAAGGATTGCTGAAGTGTGACCAATCTTGAAAGAGGGTGATTTTGAACAACCAAGCAACAATAGGCCATTATTTTGTTGCCTATCTTATCCAAGGTGTGTGAAAAGGTGGTCCTGCATCAGCCAACACCCCATCTAAAAACAAACAAAAGGCTGGTGGTGGAACGGAGCAGAAAAAAAGTGGCACTCCACTGAAACTTCTCTTATTGTCTCTATAGACACTATACTCAAGGCAGTCGACAAGAGGAAGCTAACAGGTGTTATTTATGTGGATATGAGCAAAGCGTTTGATAGCATCAATCACAGCATTTTATAGTAAAAACAGGTAGTTTTCAATGTGGTGCAGTGGATATAAAGCGACTTTATGAGAAACATGTTTTACCTGAATACGGAAAATTATACCGATCCTTCACAAAGCAAATTTTAATATGCAACGGTCTACAGGTTGTAGAGGTAAATATTTGTTTACGTGTTGGTCACGGTAAAGCTTTACCATTGATTCTTGAAATCGCTGAAGAATTTTGGCCATGATACAAATGTACTTACATTTTTTAGGCCATCCTGCACTCCAAAAAACATGTCCTGTGCTACAGGAATCACGAAGCGCGCGACGAGAGGGTGCTATTTTTTTTTTATGAGTGGTACTTTAGTGTGCTTGAAGCCCTGTTATTCAGTATCTACACAAACAACTGACAGTCCGTTGAGTGCTCAACCATTTGTAATGTTGATGACACAATAAAATTCTCTCCTTTACAGTGGAGGAATCTCGTGCCTCCAAGGATAAAATCATTGATGACCTACAATGAATCCATGATTGGTGCTTTGAACCCGGATAATCATGGTTTTCAGCAGTCAACATGATGATTTGTAAACCTCTGAACTTTAATACCTTTATTCCTGGACAAGGAACTTTTACCTATGGACTCTGTTAAGGACTCAGGGGTGATATTTGATCCTATAGGTGGTTTTCACTGTGACGTCATCAAATTTTAAGGTCAAAATAGCGAGGTTTTACGAATTCTTATTTGCAAACACTAGGTTGAACATAAACAAAAAGTAAATCTTTGTACAAGTTTCCATTTCTGTAGCATGTGTTGTTTCGAAAATACAGCAATTTGAACTTCCGAGTTTTCACAGTGCGTGACACCAAAATAGGAATGCTCTCTCATTGGAAAAAAGTCTCTCCTCTTGATTTTCAGCAGCATAACCACTTCAAGTATTAGAAGATATGTTTATGCGCACGTATGCTAGTTCTCGAGGGAAAAGAAAGAGCTTTTATAGAAAAAGTGAACTCCAGATGTTTTTGTTGATTTCCAGTGGCGATATTGATGCACCAAAACAGTACACCAATAATTATGGTGTCTCCATACAAAGCTCTGCAAAGGTGCGTGAAAAATTTCGGCAAATAACTCAGAAACTGGGGGCCACAAAGACCTGAGACTTTGACAAATTGTTTATATATTTGTCTTTTACAACATTTCATTTTCTTGGCTTCTTCCACCGGACGGTTTCCAATTTAATTTTTTCGTGCGTGACAGTGAAAACGATCTATGTCCTGACATTTGATTCCCATGCCTCGGCTCTCATTGCTTCATGCATTTATAAGCTAGATCAGATAAATTGTGTAAAACACGCTTTAAATTCCAACTTTCTAGCGATTTTAATCAACGAGTTCATTTTCAGTAAATAAAATAAAAAACTGCAGTCTGACAGAAATATACATAAACTGCAACATGTACAGAACTTTGTCATCCAGATAATTAGTGGAGAGAGAAAATTTGGTCGTATTTATTTCTCCATGCAGTTCTCCAAGAATTGTGCTGGTTACCTGTAAGATACATGTAGCAATTATATCTAAGGGACACTGTTTTTGCATTTAAATGTATGACAGGTTGTGTCTACATCCAAGCTAGTTACCAGAGGCCATGTCTCTGGCTGTGTAACACGTAATTCACAACAATTAAAATCCCTTTATTTAAAACATCTGCTGGTCAGCGATTATTCCAGTACAGAGTTCTTACTTCTTACTTCTCACTTCTTGAACAATATTGAGACACCCCTGAAGTTATCTGGTAACTTAAATACATGTACATGTAATGATTAGAAGGGAAGTAAACGGTATTCCTCAAGAACCCAATTATTACAGTTTGTTTTGAGGTTTCAAAGGCAACTTTTCAAAAAATTGAGATTGAGCATTAGCTTGATTATAATATTGCAAAAGAATTTACTAGGAGTTTAAATTACTTTAATGTTTTCTGATGATTAAATTGAAGCTTGGTTAAGTTGCTGAATGGAAGATCGTCACCCTAAGAAGCAAGTAAACACTCTTGGGAAGCAAATAAGAAAAAGTGCATCAAACATCTTCCAAAAATGGAGAAAGGAACCAAAAACATCAGGTAAACCATGAAATTTCTTCTTGTTTGTTTGTATTAATGACAATCATGTTATATTTATCTGTAGAATTTGTTAGTGAACACCTGAACTGACACGTTTATCAAAGAAGGACATCAAGAGGCCGGGTGTGTGTGTTTGTGTGTGGGGGGGTGGGTACCCTCCCATAGCCAGTTTTGTGTATTATATCGATTGGAAGGTGGTCTTAGACAAGCTATGAAAGAGAGGTAAGAATTTGGTGGTTACAGGTTAAGAGAAACTAATCCAAAATGGACTCTTGTACTGGGTGGGGTGGACATGATAGTGTGGAGGTAAACTCACATTAAGCCACGGAGAGGTTGGGATGTTTTTTGGAACAATTAGAACGATAATGGAGGTTATGTGTGTATATATTTATTGAGGTCCCGCCAGGGTAAATTCCAACAAACGACATGACACAAAAAGTAGCGACAGAGCGTAAAATGAAATTGCGACAAGAGACAACCTCCCTCAGTCAAATTGCGACAGGGATGGCAAAGCCGAGAATAAGCGACAAAGAATGGTGGTTTGGCTAATTTGTCACCAGCCTGAATGCCAAGAAGAAGTAATTTTCGTCAATTTTCCTTGCACTTCAGAGGACGTCTCTTGTCAGTGAGCTTCAGTGGACCCTCCTATAAATTGTGAATGGTGATGTATAGGTGTTCAATGCATGGAATTTTAACTGAGAAATTGCACTGTAATGGTTTCTTGAGTTCACAACGCATTGCTATGCCCCTTTTCCAAAATTCCAACAGAGACAAAGAATTTTCGTTCAATTTCCGACACCGACATGAGAATTCAGAAAATTCAGACGAGCGACAGGGGACCCCCCACCCCCTGGCAGGGCCTCTTTATTATGTATTATTGGTTGTGTATGATAGGCTTGTTTATCATTTTGTCTGATGGTATAGCCATTTTTTGTTGATCATAATAAACGTAGATACAATTTTAGCAGCTTTCATACATTCTTTCTTATGTGATGTAGACTTTTTAGCAAATTTATGTTGTTGTAAGAAATTGTTCCCTCAGCAGCCTACTGTGATATCTATTTGCTGTTTTGTAATGTCTTTCTGCATTTGACTCATTTCATTGTTTACAAACATAATTAAGCAATCCCACAGAACAATGGTCATACTCAAGACGGCGTATAAAAATTTAATATTTATTGAGTGTTTGTTGTTATATATAGCTGAAGGTCCATCTGGAGGAGTTGGGCAAGCTGGCACAAGCACAAGTTTTGATGCTGGTGAGCAAAGTATCAAATCTTATTACTTCTGTCAAACTGAGTAACCTGCAAAAGTCACACTAGGTTCACTGTTTATTTTATTCATTAAGGTTCTGAGCAGAAAGTAGAGAGTGTTATTTCTGATGTTCATGGAACATCAGCTGGTGCAAGCTGCCTTGATCATGGTACATTGTTGAGTTAAACATTATGGGGAAGAGAAGTAATGATGTCACAAATTAAATCTGTGAAATTATGGGATTGGTTGGCATATTCAGAAGGAAAAAGATGAAAAAAGACCCCTTGCCAAAAACATTAACATTATAGAGGAGAGAAGTGATGATGTCACAAAAACTAAATTTGTGAAATTTTGGGATTGGTTAGTATATCAAGAACAAGATGAAAAATGTCCACTTTCTAAAAATCAGCCTGTAGGTGCAAATTGTTGAGAAGATGAAAGCAATGTTATGCCCTGAATACTCAATAATATGATATTAAATCCTTCTAAAGCAGGTCTGGATTGTCAATGAAGTGCTGGCCAGGATCCAGACTTCGGGATAAGCGGGAGTGGAACGGGGTTGTTCATCCAGACCCTGAGATAATAAGGGGGGCCTGGTCTCAAAAAGCTTTTTTTGTGGTCCTTCAGGCCTCAGTTTGCTCTAAAACAAAGGGGGCCCCAGGCCCTCAACACCCCTCCACTGGATCCGCCACTGCTATATAGGTGTTGCTAGAATGTAGCTTGGTATGTGACTACATAGTAGAAGTTTATCTCTGAGGGAGTTGCGACACTCTATGTTACGTGTATGTATGTAAAAATAGTGATAGCATGGTTTTTCCACCTTAGTACATTGCACTGAAAAGTTATTAACGATTTTCAGTTTTAAAAGCCTGATAAGTCCCCACCCAAATGCAGAGGCGTGGCCAATGTACACTTGATTTAATTTGTGCCACTCAACTGAGAAACTATGCGCTCACATTGTATGTAATGCTAGGACTGGAAAGTATTGGGGCAAGGACATAATACATGTAATGTAATATTTTTCATCAGTGTGTACATGTAGCATATTAAATGAGTTTGTTAATCCATTCACTCTAAGAAAGTGTGCAGCCTGAAAAACGTTCTTTGAAGCTAGTCATGCCGTTTTCTGGCTGAAACTGCTCAAAAGACAGTTTTTAAATCAAGCACCATGCTTGCAGCCTTTATCAGCTTCCTTTGCTCATGACAATTAAGCTTTGAAGTGCAAAATATCGTTATGCAAATTAGCTGGCTGTACATTCAATGTGCAGGCAGCTATTTTGCAAAGTCATTCAAAGCCAATAGGTTCAAGGGGAAAGTTTTTATGAAAATTTTCAGGATCATTAGATAGAATAAAGTTCAGGTGGAAAGTGGAACAAGATTTTTCTGTTTCTTGCTAATCCGATCCTCCGTTTAATTATTTTTAAGGTGCATCTAATGTTGTGCAAGGTGCAAGCAATTATCATGGTGCTGGGGGTGAAGTTTCAGGTTCAGTTGGGGGGGTCTCTCATGATCAAGGTTCAGTACCATCATGATAATGTGTTTATTAAGAAGTAAAGGTGTAATTAATAAATAAAAAATATCATTTTAGTGGTAACATTAATGCTGGAATGCCCAGGCTTTCATCTACCACAATTCCAGCATGAGATCGTAATATTAATAACAGAAATGTTGGTTGCTCAATGCTGTATTGATGAAGAGAGGCAAAAACCAGAGTACCTTCACAAAAACTGTTGGAACGAAAAAGTGAACCAGTAACAAGTTGGTTTCTCCAGCGACTGCACCACCCTTGTTCTCAAAATATAATAGCAAAACAGTTATGTTATTTTTCACTCAGCAAGCATGTTAATGTTAAAACTCTTCCGTACCAACATAAATTAGTTATGCAGCTTTGGACTGAAATGTATACTTAAAATATTTAAATAGTTATCTTTATATCTACATGTTGGAATGCTGGTTGATATGTTCTCTCATTTTTCAGGTGCATTTAATGCTGTGCAAGGTGCTGATTCTGGTGCTGGGGGTGAGGTTTCAAATCCAAGCAATGAAGTTCATTATGACCAAGGTACTTTACAGAAATGTTATTTGTTACTGAAAATGTTTACTGAAAAATTGGTTAATATGTCTTTGAAATTTAGCATCTCCTTCAGGTGCAGTTATGTGACACTAATCTATAAACTTAAAAACGTCAATGGTGCAATCTCAATTGTTGCATGTTTGTGAGTGATATTTTTTTCATTCTCAACGTGCCTCAGCTAGTGCTGTGTACAAGGGAAGTAAAGATAGTGGTGCCATAGGGAGTGGAGTGTCAGATTCAGGAAAAGAAGTTCCCCATGATAAAGGTACAAAAACAATATCTTTTTTACCCATATGGTTTCTCATCAGGACTTAAAGAGTGAGAGAAATATATATAAATAAATGATATTGCTATATGACTTTAAGAAGCTACTTTGTATTTTGTGTACATATTTAATGAAAGAAAGTAGATAAAATAATATGTATAATTATCATGTATTCCTGCTTTCCATGAGAGCCGTGCCTGTAACTAAGCAAAAACTTAACTACAGGGTGTCCCAAAAGTTCGTTCCTCTAATTTCATGCACTGTAACTTTTGATTAAAACTTTATTTTTACATGAAATTTCTACAAGATGTTTATTTCTCTATCGAGTACTTATGTTCAGAATTTCAGTAACTGGCATGCCCTTTTTGTTTTTTTAATCACATTCTGTAGCCATTGCGGCTTGAAGTGGGATACACAGTAGAGTGAAGACTTTGAAACCCTGATTGACTACAAGATAGCAAATTGTCAAATACTGATACCATTTCTGGAAGAAATCGTAATTTGGAATGTTAGTGTTTGAGGAGAGGGGGAAACTGGTGTACCTAGAGAAAACCTTTCAGAACAAGGGTGAGAACCAAAAGCAAACTCGATCTTCAGTCATGTATGCCAGCACTTTTGGGACACAAACCTGGGGCACGCTGGTGGGAGGCAAGTGCTCTCACCACTATGCCACTCTTGTTTCCATGGCATGTGGCCAGAGGTGTGGCCAAATTTGTAGACCTTGGTGTAGCCTACCTGCAAAAAAATTGAAGGAAGGATATGAAGTAACTCTCCAAATCTTATTATTATTATTGTTATTATTATTATTATTATTATTATTATTATTATTAGATTTTAATCCACAGTTGGAATTAGTGTCAACTGGATGTTTTTTATTGAAATGAATTTTTTTTTTCAAATGATCAGGAGCCTATGAAATGAAATGACTAGTAAATAGTGCTTTGACCGAATATATGTTTTAGTATATACACTCTCAGTGATCTTGGTAATTCAAGCAATCTGATTGGTTAGCTATGTCGGACTATGACGTTATATTCACCGCGCTGGGCGGTGAATATAAAGCAGAACAAAATCGCTGTCGTGAACTGATTGTTTTGCCAAAGTTTCATAGTAAAGCCGTTTTTAAAAGACACGAATATCCAAGTGCTGATGACTTTGAAGGCAAGAAAAGACTTCATGGTGTTTAAACAGCGTGATTTATTGTGAAGTGGTTTACTGTAGCTGACTTTTTGTACGCTTGAAGCTATGTTTACCACTACAGAGGAAAACGAGGTCGCTTTGTCACTGTTTTGTGATTTCGGGATTTTCTCACAAGACCAATTTTGCCTATAAATAGAAGTTAATTTATGGAGAAAAGAGGAAAGCAAATATTTTCGACAATTGTACGTGCCAGCAAGTTAACAAGGCAAAGAACATTGGAGATAAACAACGCTCACCTTGATCGTAGCCGCTGTTGACAGCATTTGCAAGAAGCGACAAAGAAAACTTTCTCATTCACGGTGAGTTGACAGTAACAAATATAGCTCCACTTTTCTTCTCAGAATTGAGCAGTAAATTAAATTTTCGGCGTTTTCTTTTAAACCGTTGATGTTAAAGCTTACAAAACTCGATACAAAAAGATTAAAACTATCATTTGCCTTGTCTGAAGATGCTGTAAAGATCTAACTTTTGCGCATCCACTGTTTACGGCTTCGTGTCCACGCATGAATTCACCCGTCAATCAAACTAATCGTTTTTCAATGGTTTCCTTTTTGATTTCGTTGTGATCACTTCGTGTGAATATACTAAAACAATTATTCTCCTCAGGCTCAGTTAATATTGTTGAATAATCCCCTCGACTTCGTCTCGGGGATTATTCAACAATATTAACTTCGCCTTCGGCGAATAATTGTTAAATATATTTTTAGTTTTAAAACAAAGAACAATCGAAATTAATTGTTTTTTTTAATTGAAATGAATCTTTTTAAATGAGGTGTTTTTAATCGAATGAAGTGTAAATAGTGTTTTGAGTGAACAGTTTTTAAAACGAAATTAAGTGTAGACAGGTTTTAATAGTTAGCGTCGTTATCAATAAAGGTTATTTATATTTATTATTATTATTATTATCTCGCAGTATAAAACTTTAGAATGCTGTCCACATTATGAGTAGTATAGGGCGCATAACGTAACCTACACCACTTGAGAAGCTATACTTAGAAGTAAAAAAAGGTCGGTACGAAACCTAATACAATCCTAATATACATAATGATATGAATCTCTCTACTTAAAAAGCCAATTTAGAATATTATTAAATTCTTACACTCTGTAAAACCTACGCAAAGACATGATGATATAATTATCTCTACTAGAAGCCTATTTAGAAAATTATTCAGTTTTTATACTCTCATTATCTCTTATATACCCAAACGAGGCCATCATAATGTGGTTATCTCTACTAAAAGCCTATTTAGAATAATATCAAACTCTAATACTCTATAAAATCTAAGTAAAAACATCAGTAAACTTGTGTTTTCTGGATTTCTAGAGAAAAAAAACCTAAAATCTGGTGTCCTTAGCGCCCTAGCTAAGTATTTATCTTAAATGTTCTACCAATGTTCAAAGTGTTTGAGATGAACGACTTCTGCATCCGCTCAAGTACGCTCCGTGCTCTCGCTCCTAGTAGCTTCCTCACCGACTTCTCTAGGTGTTTAGAGTAACCACCCAGTACGTCAATTATTACGTTGTACTGTTCAACCCTGTAACCAATGTACCTCTGCTTCAGCTCCCACATCATGGGCCCATACTTGAGTGTCTTTTCCTCATCTTTCTTAGCTCTACTCTCAATCCATGGGCAGCTCATTTCAATAATTGAAATGAGCTATTATTGTGCAAACTTCTTTCCTCTCGTGGCTGACAAGTCGCTTGTCGATCCGATTTGCTCTAACTTCGTTGTGCTCTGCATAGATGGAAATATCCCAAAACGCCTCACTCGTGGTGTTCTGGTAGGCTGGTTCTGGCGTCACCGGTGAGTACCATGGAGGAACCTCTTCTATTAACCCATACTCTCGCAGGAGCTCAAAAAACAGAATCTTCAAAGCTGCATTATGCCTGTATAGTTACTTGGTTTGTGCCAGGGAGGAACATCCAGCCAATACATGTGCAACGCTTTCAGCTATCTTCCCACATAACCTGCATAGGACTTCGCCGTCGGTGGAGGTTTGCGTCTTCTCCTTTGAGTAGAGCTTCGTTGGTAACAACTGCTCATACAGTTTATACATGCCCGCGATGGTATGTGTAGGGCATGAAGCCCAACCTTTTAACCATGCAAAGCAGCTGGTTATGCTTAGGCTCTCATCTTCCCATCTGATACGGAATATCTTTCCTTGCCACCTTTTGTCTTTAGCGATCTCCCAGAACTGCTTCTCTTGAGATTGCTTCAACAGGTTCCCAGCTCTTGCTGCAGTCACCACCTTTCCTTCTGTTGTAACACACACGGGATTTAGGGAGTCAGGCTGAAGTGTGATGTTGAGTTCTTCAGCGTACTTAACTGCTTCCTTTACAAACGACTGGTGGCCTGATGCCATGGCGTGTTCTTCAAATTCTCTAACTGCTTTCACGGTCAGGTCCGAATTCTGATACAATTTCAGTAGCGATTTGATTTTAGTGATCTTGTACTCGTGTTCTACTGATCGCAGGCCTCTACCCCCTTTCTCCTTCGGTAGATATAACAAAGAAGTTAGGCTAGCTGGGTGCTTGCCACCGTTCTCAACGATGATCTTCCGAGCTGCTCTGTCCACATCTCTTAACTCTGATAGAGGCCAATGCTGCGTGTTCACATTAAGTACCGCAGGACCAGGAGTGCATACTGATTAGTTGCCTGTACACGGTTTTATAATTAATTTTATAATTATTATTATTATTATTGTTGTTGTTGTTATTTTTCCACAAAATTCCATAAGGGGATTTCATTGATGACTGCCGCTTAAACGCTAGCCTAGCGTCTGTTTTAGAAAGTGATAATGGCGTGAGCTTGTAAATTAGTAATTTTAAGATCTTTTTAATAATTTTAGTCTATGTTAGTGGAATGTAAATTGGTCATATAATGCCTGCCGCTTAAACGCTAGCCAAGCGTGTGTCCGTTAATTTTAGAAAGTCGATAATGGCGTGAGCTTGTACATTAGTATTTTAGGATCTTTTAACATTTTTATTTCATCAAAATTTAAGTCTATGATAGTGGAATGTAATTTGGTCATATGTTAATAAAGATTTTATTTAATAATAAAATTATTATTATTATTAAAATTATTATTATTACTTTTATCTCAGTTTCGTAGTCATCAGCTCATTCATGTTTTTCTTTCCATAATCAGAATTTACTAACGTGAAAACATCTACCTTGGAAGACTTGCGTAGCAAGCTTGCTGATCTCTACAAACGCACAGCCAAGGTACCCACGTCGGTTTGGTCTTCGGTCTGTCAGGTGGAACTTGACCAGATCTACACTCGACTGTCATTGGTGAAAAAAGAAAAAATTCCAACTGGGACATTGCAGTTAAACCTGACAGATTATAGTGAGCTATTCACATCAAACAAGAAAGGTATTGTGCCTAAGAGAATTCTTGTGCAAGGGGAAACGGGAATTGGAAAGAGCACATTTGTTAAAAAGGTAGCGTTGGATTGGGCTAAACTCGTTGACGATAAGGACGTTGTAAACGAAGAAATGGCTGCTTCAAGCAATTGCCAAGGGGGTAAGAAGCCATCACGTAAAGATCACGTGGGCGTTAGCCAGGCCGAGAGCAGCGAAGCAAGAAAACATGATGACAGCAGTGAGTGTCATATTGATGCGCTAAAGAAGTTCCAACTTGTTATTACTGTTCCTTTGAAATATGTGTCTAAATGCCAGAGTTTCAGCGACGTGTTAAGCTGTTCTCGTCTTATTCCAAAAGACGAAGAATCTTTAATAGATGATTTGTTTACGTACGTTTGTAACAACCAAGAGAAAATTCTTCTGGTGTTTGATGGCTACGACGAGTATCGCACTGGAAGCGTAGCAGAAGCCCAGTTTGGAACAAGAAGCACTTCTCCTATTTGTGAGATTTTCCACCGAAATGAGCTTAGAGACTGTACTGTCTTAGTAACCACGAGATCTTCGAGAGCTGATGAACTGCAAGAATCTGCCGACAAACACGCTAAGATCACAGGATTTTATTTAGAAGATCAATTTGCTTTTATGAAGAGGATGCTAGGTAGCAACAGCCAGGTATATGAGCTAAAAATGTTCCTGTTGAAAAAGAGGCTGTTTTACCTTGCAAGAGTACCACTTCTGAATCTCTTTTTCTGCTTGTTGTTCAGGCAAGATAAGGAGAAAATGATGGAACTTGGCAAGAGAAAAACTCCATTTTATCGAGCTATTATTCGATACATCTTGCAGTACAGCAACAAGAGACTTTCCCCTGCTAAAGTCTACAAAGTAAAAGAGGAAGATTATCAAGAAATCCTTACTGAAATAGGAAAGGTGGCGTTGGAAAGTCTTTTGAAGGGTAGTCAGGTGTTTGAATATGGTCAGCTGTCTGAGAAAGTACGTGGTGAAGAAAGTGTTATGGTGGGCCTCTTACAATTATCTGAGAACGAAGCAAGTTTGGAACCAACGGAGATAGTGTCCTTTATACACAAATCAATTCAAGAGTATTTAGCAGCCTGGTTTATCGCTAACAGATGTGTTCCCGAGGGTAATCTTGGTGGAATTGAAAAGCGTGCTGCCACTTTGGAGGATTGTAAGGCAATTGCAAATATTTTGCAGTTCGTGTGCGGTTTGTCCACGGAAGGAGCTGTAAAGGTGCTAACGCATTTATCTACTATCCGCGCCAATGACTCCTCAGTAGATTTTTCAAAGTTAATGCCAGTTGATGAAACCGAAACAGACCTGCCCTGGGCTGACTTTACCCCGCGGCATCGCCAGTTCAATGACCTGGTCCGAGATTGTTTTCAAGAAGTTTCATTGGCTCCCGATCTTATAGAGCATGTCTTTGGTTGCACCGGTGGAATCATCGTCCAAGAGACGCCAGTTGATCGCGGTCTAGTGCTAAAGCCAGAAGTTTTAACTCAGCAAGCAACACATTCGTGGGCTTTCTATTTTATTAACCGTATTCCCGAGAGACAGCATTTGCGTTGGCCATTCTCCACCGTCAACTCAGTAGAGAACCTCTATCAATCAGTTCAATTTCTGGATCTCTTGCATATCCCCCTTAGAATGGTTAGGAATTCGAAAGAGCTAAAACTAGGAGACTTTTTAACAAAGTTTCGCCTTTGTTCTTGTACGTTTTGCACTTTCGCTTCCGTGCTTTGTTGCGCTGATGGCAAAATGATGGTGTACATCACAGACTTGAACCTTATGTGTGATAAACATACCAGTATGTTTACTGAAGCTGCGGCTGTCGTTTCTGATCAATCTGTTTCTGCAAAAATGTGTTCAAGCCAACCATGTTTAAAATTCTTAACATCCTTAAGCTGCATTTTCCATGGAAACCGAGAATTGCTGAGAGAACTTGTTGTCATGGTTAGAAACTGTGAACATTTGCAAGGAATTAGGTATGGCGGAGACGGTGACTACGTAGTTGATTTTCTCGAGGAATTAGCATTTCCCGGGAAATTGTTTTTGACCATTATTGTTAAAGAGGAGGAATCAATTTGGAGTGTTGTGGAAGATTTTCCATGTTTTCCCTATACAGCACCAAGACGTGAAGAAAGTTTATGTCTTATTGCGAACTTGCTTTGCCTCTATTCATTTGAAACAGCAATGGCATTCGTAGGCAGTATCTCGCCTGAGAGTTTGGGAGAAGTTTCACTTAGAAATATCAACCTCACCACCTCCGCAGCTGCGACTCTCGGTAAATCACTTTCTAAAATGACTTACTTACGAAGGCTTCAGTTAACAGGGCCGGATGATCGCGATTGCCATGGCAGTTTTTTGAATTTGAATACTCTTTTTGAAGGATTTAACAATGTACGGCATCTAGAAGAACTTTATTTATCAAATTTGTCTGTCGTTGATTCCTTTGCTCCACTAACCGAGAAATTTCGCTTCTTTGCTGATTTAAAAAAGTTAGTTCTTGAAGATGTGAACTTGGATGGAGATGGTTTGTGTCTTCTACTGGAAGGTTCTCGATTCATTCCAAATCTGCAACACCTGAATCTGTCGTTCAATCCACTTGGTAGTGCGGTAAGAGTTATCGCTTCCTACCTTGACAAACTTCCTGAGCTTAGGGAGCTTCTGATTTATCGTGATTTTGGGTATCACTCAGACTTGAAGTACGTTTGGACAGCTGCTCAAGAATTACGTCCTG